GGTGTCCCAGACAAAGCTGGAGAAGACTTGGGAATTGCAGCTGTTGGTACACATGAAAGGGATGCCTCCCAATCCAGCCCTGGGTTCAAGGCTCATGATCACCTGGGACTGGGCTTTCAAGGCAGGAAGTGAAGGGCACCTGTCATCCATCCGCATCAAGGGACCCCAGGGGCAGGTTCAAGTCCTCTCTTTCCACAGCAGCAACAATAGCCATGACCATGAAAGCCCCAGGCATTGTGCTAAGTTTACCTGCCCTATTCCATTTAATTCTTGCCACCCCAACCACCAGGGAGCTCCCCCTATCATTCCCACTTCACAGTGAGGAAACTGAGGCACACAGAGGGAAGTACCTTGCCCAGAGTCACTCTACTGAGCAATGGCTGCGCTGAGATTTGAAGCCGGGCAACTGGACTCCAGGATCCGTGTTCTAGACCCAAACACCAGACCTCCCACTGCTGTGGACCAGCGAGTGGTCTCACCACAACTCTTCGTTGCCGAGGCCCACAGAGTCCAACATACACACATGCACACACAACCAAAACAAAGTCTATGAAGCAAAAATTCTCCTTACTACCCCAATGCACTTTATATTTTTTTATCCTATTCTATATCATTAAAGATTTTTTTAAAAAGTTGGTCATGCATGACCCACAGTAGACAGACCAGTTGGTCTGGTGGCCAGGCCTTGTTTGGGGCCCTGGGCGCCTACCCCTCCCTCTCTGAAGCACAGGGCAGCTGCACCTAACCACCTAACCAGCTACATGTCCGATTCTTTTCCCGCAACCTATTCCTCTTCCACTAGAGGCCAGCTCCACGGGGGCCTCCAGTGGCTTCCATCCCATTCACAGCTGAACCCCCAGGGCCTGGCACACGACAGGTGCCCAAAAGATGTCCGTTAAATGAATGAAGGTGCACACTCAGGAAAACGTAGGGCAGGGCAGACCCCGGAGTCACTCCAGCCTGGGCACACGGCCCCTAAGGACAGATGTTGCCTGCCTGGAAAATGGGACTAAATATAGCCCCTCTAAAGGGTTGTTACAAGGATTTAAAATAGATAATGTGGGCAAAGCCCCTGACTCAGAGCTTGGCACAGACCAAGGTCAACATACTTCCCTCGCTCCAAGCTCCAGGATGCCTGACTATTGAACTAACACTAAAAAGGGCCATTGACTTGGTCAAGCACGGACCAACTTGATGATGAAACCCAACTGGCAGTTTGAATTCTGTCTCTTCTCCAACCAGAACTGTGGGTGAGCCCCAGAGGCGCGCTGAGGGAAGGGTGGCCATGTGCTGGTGAGAGAAGAAGGGGCAAGAGCCCCGCTGCCCTGGAATTCCAACCTCTCCCAGCCCCACTTGTTTATTTTTTTTATTTTTTTTTAATATTTTATTTATTTATTTGAGACAGAATGAGAGAGAGAGAGAGAGAGAGAGAGAGAGCACGTGCACATGAGAGGGGGGAGGGTCAGAGGGAGAAGCAGACTCCCTACCGAGCAGGGAGCCCGATGCGGGGCTCGATCCCGGGACTCCAGGATCACGACCTGAGCCGAAGGCAGTCGCTTAACCAACGGAGCCACCCAGGCGCCCCGCCCCACTTGTTTACACTTTTATTTTTTTCCTTACAAACCCCAGGTTAAGGGAAACGGGGCCCAGAGAAAAGGACCATGGGGTACTAGGAATCAGACAGACCAGGGTCTTCTAAACCCAGCTCTGCCACTGCCTACCTGTGTGAGTTGGGCCAAGTGCTTTAACCTCTCTGCACCTCATGCTCCTCATCCATAAAATGGAGAAGAATGGCACCTTACTTTGCAGTATTGAACCGCAACTAGAAAGAGAATGGGTAACGCACACAGCAGGAGCTTGGCAAATGTGTTTCCTTGCTGGCTCCTGGGCACTTCTCTTTACAGGGCATTCGTCTGAATTTGCTGATGCCCTTTGTGAAGACTGCCAAGGGGCTTCCCACATCAGTCATTAAGGAACCCCCCTTTCTCTGACATGTCATTATTGCACACGATAACATGACATACTTGCTTTGGGGCACCCAACACATGTTGTCTGAACCATGGATTGGGAGGATACTGCATGTCGGAGGACGAATGTAGAACTTTGGAGCTAAATCAACCTGGATTCCAATCCTGGTTCTACCAACTGGATGAGCCACGTGAGCTGGGATGAGTCATTTTATCTCTCTGAGCCTTGGTTTCCTTATCTGTAAATGGAGATGATGATTCCTACCTTGCAGGGCTATTGCGAGCATTAAATTCATTCATTCATTCAACAAATATTTACTGAACATCCGTGTACTAGCCACTGCTCCAGGTGCTGAATATACAGCAGTGAATAAAAAGACAAAATCCTCCCTGGGGAGACAGGTGATTAAACAGCTAACTACACATGCCGTGTGGCACATGGTGATCATGCTAAGGAGAAACACCAAGTGGGGGAGAGCAAGTGGGGCATGCCGGGGGCAGGGGTGATGGCAGGACCCGCACCGGAGCAGAGAGCTAAAGGAAGCGAGGGGGAAACCATGTGGAGGTCTGGGGGAAGAATGCTCCAGGCAGAAGAATCAGCAAGTGCAGGAGCCTTAAGGAGAAGCATGCTTGGCATGTAAATGAAGCCACATATGCAGGAAGCCTGGCATGGAATCCAGGTGCTCAGCAAATGCCAGCTCTCTATTTCAAGTCCCATAGAAGGAACCCCACGCATGTGTCCTTTTCCTGAGAACGAAAGCACAAGGATTTCTACAGGGCAAGACTGAGCCAAGTGTTCTTTCAGCCTAAGATGCAGGCAACATGTGAGCTCTACCACTGGTTTTTGAGCCCCTGCCAGCCACTAGGCTCTGGGTTGGGCAACCTGGGATACAAGATAATCAAGACACGGTTTCTGTCCTCAGGCAGCCCTGAGGCAAGTTCTGGAGAGGGGTGACGACAATGCAATGTGGTCTGATGAACAAGCCGAGCCTTAGGAAGGTATCTAGGTAGCAGAGCAAAGGGTGGGATTGGTGTGGGTGGTCAAGGAAGGCTTCCTGGAGGAGGTGACAACTAAGCTGACTTTTAAGAAATGGACTAGACAAGGATATTTCAAGTGTGGGGAGCATCACATACTGATCACAGAGTTGTCAGAAACAGCATAGTGTGTGAGAGAAACTAATTACACACAGGTGGGAAAACAATAAATGGCCCTTCATATTCTCAGCACAGCAAGCTGATGTGTCTCAGGAACTCCAGCTCTGTCCCCTTCCTCAAACTCGGGGCAAGCTTCAGCTCCAGTGGAGAATTTTAATTTTTCACACTTAGTTACTGCAGTGGGTAACAACCTTAACCCTTGGCTCCTAGCCCTGGTGGCCCAGTCCACAGAGCAAGAGCCCTGTGGGATGGACAATATATAAATCTCCAGCTATTTTTAGCCTGCCTGGCTCTGTCTGTCCCTTCACCTACCCTAAGGCTGACCCACAGGTGGCAGAATGGCTTTTTTACTAGAACAGCATAAATATTTTTAATTAAGAAATCCTACAAAGGGGCCCATGCTGCAGCCAGGTGTCTGTGGCTGGGAGAGCATCTGCTGCCATATTTGCCAACAGCCCTGGACACCTCTGGACCGGGTGGGTACGTCCCTCCATCCCCATCCAGCCAATATCCCTGCTCATAAGAGGTGGAGGCCACTGGCCCATAAGTGGACCTGGGTTCAGATGCCACCTCTGCCTCCGACTAGCTGATGACCCTCTGCTGGTGACTTTACCTGTCTGAGAATATGGGGGTTTTGAATGCAGTGGCCCTAAAGCTGCCCAGAAGCTTATAAACTAGGAGTTGGCTCCTCTTGCGTAGGCCAGCCTTGGGAATCCCGGGCACAGCATCATCCATTTTAAGACCCTCCAGAGGAAGAAACAATGATTTTTTGATATAAAGCCTAGAAGGGGGGCTACATGGGGGTGTTAGAGCCAGGCCAGGGATGTCTCTCTCCTAAAACCTCACACTAAATTTGCACTGCAGCCGATACACACATCTTTCACTTTCTGCCCAAAAGATGCTACCAATGCCTCGCCTGAAGCCAAGATAAAGACTTTTTCTAAAGACTTGGGGTGTGGGGGACGGCTGGGCAGGCAGACAGGGGGCCCATCCCAGACTCACCTCCTATTAGCAGTATGACCTTAGGTGAGTCATTTCTTCTCCTCTGAGCCTCAATTTCTTTAATTGTAAAATTGGGATAAACATCTTTACAACGAAAAGCTGCTTTGCATGCCGCCCTGGCCCTGGGGTATGCAAAATGCCCTACACAGAGCCCCCAGTGCAGTGATCTGTCACCCAAATAACCAGGTATTCTCTAGTAAGTCCTCCTCTGCCCCCCATTCCCACCTTCCCACTTCACCCCCATCCCCTTACTCTAGCCCCGGAAATTCTAAGGTGATGTTAACTAGGGGGCGATGCGTTCTGCAGCGGTGACTCCGAGGGGCTGGAAAGCCCCCAGTTGAGCGGACACCAGAGGGGGGCGCAGCCGGGGTGCGCGTGGGAACATGGCCAAACCAAGGCAGCATGTGCCGCGGGGGCGCTGGCGGCTGGAGATTGGGGTACCCCTGCAAGCGCCCCCCACTTCAGCAGCTGCAGTCTCGGCACAACGGGTGGTTCTGGCCGTCGGAAGCCCTAGGGAGCCCGGCTCCTGTCACCCCCCAGGGCGCCCCGGGCTCCCTCCTCAGCGCCCTAGGGCTGAAACAAAGGCGAGGGGGCGAGCGGCATCGCCCCAGCGGCCCCTTCGCGCATCTGGCCAAGCAGGGAGAACGAGGACTGGGGTCCCCAAGGTAACCAGGACGCGGTAGCCGTCCTCCCGGAGCGCAAAGCCCAGCCAAGGGGCGCGCGCGGAGCCGGGGTCCAGGAGGCACCGAAGACTCCAGCCCGCTGCGCGCCGAGGGCTCCAAGGGGGTGGAGTGGCTCTCCGGAAGTCACCCAGCGGGTCCCCTGGGGAGAGGAGAACCCCAGCGCCCGCCTCCCGGGCAGGGCTCGCCGGCGTACCTGGCAGGGTCCTGTGCACGGTGTTGCCCATCGCTGCGTCGGGGCGCGGCGTTGGCGGCGGCGCGCTCCGGGTGCACGGAGGCTAATAACGCGGTGGGCCGGGGACCCGGGCCAGGGTCGGGCTCCGGGGCATCGCGGCTGCACGGGCGAGCCGGCGGGCGGCAGCTGGGGCGGGCGCCTGGAGGGAGGCGGTGGCAGCCGGAGGAGGAGGCGGAGCCAACCGGCCCGAGCCCGCGGGCTCCGCCTCCGCCTCCCGCCGCCTCCAACCGTGCTGGGAGAGGCGGGGCGGCGGCCGCCGCATCTTTTGAAAGTTTGGACCGGGCGGCGGGAGCGGAACCGCCGAGCCTCCCGCTCTTGCCGCTCCCGCGCCCGGGGCAGGAAGACGCGCCGCCGGTTGGGTGTCCTCGGGGTGCCAGGCCTTTCATTCATTCCTTCCAACTCTTCGCCAAGGCCTAGTGTGTGCCAGGCCCTCTTCCAGGCGCTGGGCCACAGGGGTCCAAGCCCTCACCCTGACGGTGCACTAATGAGGGGTGCGGGGGTGGGGTGGGGTGGGGATGTACACGCCGGCAGAAGGTCGCCTACGGCAGTGTAAAGGGCGGGGTGACCGTGGGGGGGGGTGTGTGCTCACGGACCTACAAATAGAAACCTAGGCAGTATCCAAAGGTTGGGAGGAGGGAACATATTAGAATATTTATTAAGCGCATGCCAGGCACTGTGCTGGACACTGTAGGTAGAGACAAGGCATGTAAGGGGTGAAAACAGAAATAACAAGCACTTTATTATTTTTATTTTTAATTTTATTTTTATTTATTTTTAGAGTTTTGGGTTTTTTTAAGGTTTATTATTTTGAGAGAGAGGGAGAGTGAGCAGGGAGAAGGTGAGCAGGGGGAGGGGCAGAGGGACAGGGTGAGAATCTCAAGTGGACTCCCCGCTTAGCGGGAGCCCAAATGGGGGCTCCATCTCAGAACCCAGAGATCATGACCTGAGGCGAAATCAAGAGTCAGAAGCTCAACCGACCGAGCCACCGAGGCGCCCCAAAATAACAAGCAATTTAGATCACACAATATAATGATCAAAGTCAACAAGAAAATAAGATAACTGTGCTATAGTAACTTTGGGGGGCTCAGGGAGAACCTGGGGGCATGCCAGCTCCATCTGGAGAAACAACAAGGAATCAGCCATGGGAAGAGCTGGGGAGCATATGCCTGGCAGAGGGAGTAACAGGTATTCCTCATTCACCCCACAGGTACTCTGAGCAGCTCTTTCCTGTACAAGAACCCAGACCAAACTCAATGGGAAGTGAAGCCTGCTAGTTCCTGCCTTCACTGGGCTCTATTTTGCAGATTGGAACACTGAGGCTCAGAAGGTGCAAAGACTTACCCGAGAAGACCCAATTCTCAACCGTTTTTTTTTTTTTCCAACTCTACTTTCCATGCTCTTGTATCCTTTATGAAATAGGTGTTATTACCCCCACTTCACAAATAGGGAAACTGAGGGTCAGGGAATGGAAAAGAGGTGCCCAAGATGTCCCAGCTGGTAAGGGGCAAAGCTGGCCTGGAGCTATGTGAACGAAAGACGGGTATCTAGGACAGAACCGCCAGCTGTGTTTCTCCAGGGCCCTCTGCCTAGGATTCCTGATGCATCCCAGAGGGTTCTCATTCTTCAAGGTTAGCTCAGAGCCTCCACCTCTGGGAAGGCTTCTCTATACCCCACCCACCCTGACTCATGTATGTCTGCACATAAGGTTGCCTTGTATTTGAGTTACTAATTTCTCATTATTACAGGTGCTCTCTCAGCTACTTAATTTTTAAACACAAGTCCTGTTCGGGAAAGGTACATTGGTTCAAAACACCTTCAATCCATATGAGTTTGGGATGCATATGCAGGTCAGAATAATTACCTAAGAAGCCAAGGAAATTTTCCTCATGCAAAGCAATGTGGTGCAAATGGAACTTTGTGACTACAAGGGTCACAAAGAGAGGGTCACAAAGGGTGACTGCAAGGGAGGTTGGTATAAACAGACCGCTTAAAGGTCACTTTCAGAGCGTCCAAGTAAGCGGCTGTGCTGTGCAGACCACGATGCACATCTGCAGCAAATAAAGCCTCAACTGCCCCAGTGTTACGCAGATGGTGCCTGTGGAGGGGACACTGTCAGTGGCCAACTGACATGTATATCTAAAAGGGCCGTGTTTTAGCATCTTGGTCCCTGTGAATAACATCTGATGTGGAGGGGCGCCTGGGGTGGCTCAGTCGGTTAAGCGTCTGCCTTCGGCTCAGATCATGATCCCGGGGTCCTGGGATTGAGCCCTGCAAAGGGCTCCCTGCTCAGCAGGCAGCCTGCTTCTCCCTCCCCCCTGCTCATGCGCTCCCTCTCTGTCTCTCTCTCAAATAAATAAATAAAATCTTAAAAAGAAAAAAAGATTCTGCTGTGGAAACTGAAAAAGCACCCTCCAACACACACCAGATGATGGGGACACTGGCGTCAAAGCCACACATGAAGAGTTTGAACCAAACAGTTTCTTGAAATTTGAGCGTGGACAGAGGCAGTCTTTCCAAATTAATATTTTATGTAAAAATTATTTAAAATCTGTATGTCTTGCTAAAGAAATAAATATTGTAAGTAGATGTCTATTTTATCACCACCCGTTAAAGTTGATATTATTCAACTTTATTGTGCACCTTCCCATTGGAAGAAAAGGGATTGCTCTTAACCTTTACTTGGGCTGCCTTATATTTGTGCATATATGGTCATTGCTCACCCCTCTGAGGTACATCTGCACTTTGTCCTGTCCCTTAGTTATACCCTCAGGGCAGGTGCCATAGCTGTTACCCCTCCATTCACTCCACTGGCAGATGGTAAGCCTCCTGTGGGCAGGACCCGGGTCGTATTCATTTATAAATCTCCAGTGCTCAGAGCAGGACTGGTGTACACAGATGGTCAGAACACCTTTGAATAAACTGACTGCAGAGATGCATTGCTCTGAACTGGAAAAAGAAATGGAAGAAGAGAAGGGAAGGAGGGAGGATGGGTAGGAAAGAGCTGTGAAGGAATGAGAATTAGTTGATAGTAGCCCTGGATTCCGGTGTGATCACTAGTGATATGGGTGGGGAGAAACAAACAAACAGAATAGGGGTCACATTCCCAGAAGTATAGTCTCTAAAACAAAGCAGGTGCTTGCTGCTTCAGCCATTCAAGGAGATGATGCTTTGGGCACCATACCTGAGAAGCAAGGCAAAGCTGGCCCACAAAGGTGGGGAAGGAGTCTTTGGGAGAGAGAGATCCCTGTCACAGGTGGTGTGCAAACAGAAGCAGGGGACAGGGGAAGCATCCTCGGACCTGGGCAGCAGCCTCCGGTCATAACCTCTCCCGGCTTTGAATTCCATGCCCCCCAACCTTTCCCTTAACCACACCCAGAACCCCACAGACCGTGCTGCCCTCTTTTAGTGCCAGGGCCGGTGCTTAGGTTGCAGAGGCCCCTGGGTGGGGCCGACTCTCTTGGTTGTGCAGTGTTGGCACAGCCTCCCAGGGCGGTGGGTATAGAGGGGAGGCCTTGGCCAGGTTTGCTGGCATTACTCCCGCAGAGCATGCCCTGGCATGCGCTGCCCCATGCAATAGCAGGCAGTCAGGTGCACCTCATAAAAAGGGCACACACTGAGCTCGGGGGGAGGATGTGTGAAAAGACCCCTTCTTCCAGGGAACCGAAGGGTATTTGCCTACACTCCTCCCCACAACTCACTCAAGAACACAGAGTCCAGGTTGCAACCAACCACAAAGCTGGGTGTTTTAAATTGCTACAGGAAGGCTCTACCTTTCAGTAAACTCCACCTATCAAACCCTCAATTCCCGGCCCCAGCAGGTCTTCACCTACAACAGCAACATTTTTTAGTTCCTGGTTACAAAGCGCCAACCGGGGAGCGGGCACCAGGCTGTGCTCTGGGAGTGAGCCTCCTCGAAATCTAACAGTGTGGTCATTGACACAGTTCCCACCTTGCAGGAGAGGAAATTGGAAGCAAGAAGAGAGGAAGGAACTGCCCAGTTCATACAACCAGGAGGAGGCAGAACTCAGAGGGTTCTCTGTCCTCTCTTTTTACAGAGGAGGAAACAGGCTCAGATCGGTGAAGCCAATCGGTGAACCAATCATGCTTGTGTGGAACGGAATTGACTGCACATTACCCGGCAGCCAAGGCAAAAAGGGAAAGAGGCTCATCCCATGCTTTACTTGTCCTGTTCACTCGCAGACGCACACTTGGTGCTGGAGCAGGTGCCAAAGGGGAGCTCTTCCCTGGCGTTGTGGGAAGGCTGATGGGCAGAACCTTCCTCCTGACTTTGCCTGAAGACACATCAGCAATGTTCTGATGGATGGCTCCCATGCTGGCCGTCAGAAAAGATCAAGGGCTGGCCGTTTCCTGGAATCCGGCAGAGGCAGCTCTGTGAGAGGCTGGGGGCATAGGTGCCTGGAACTCAGCTTTCTCATGACACAGGGACAGGGCTCAGATATTCCGAAACAGATGATCATTTTGGGTAGGTCACACGAGCAAGGCAGTGGCTGAAGGGAAATTAATTTATGATTCCAATAGCTTGCACTTACTGCGCAGTTACAGTGCTAATTATGACACAGGCATAGCTAACATTCATTGAGTGCCAGATGCTGTCCTAGGTCCTTTAGATGTATTAAGCTCACAATAGGCCTAGGCAGTAGTACTATTAATAGGCCCATTTTATGGAGAGGGGGAGCCGAAGCCCATAGAATGTAGGTAGCTTAACCACCAGCACACAGGCATAGAGCAGTCTGAACATATTGGGCTGATTTATGTAATCCTCACGGCAACCCTATGAGCTAGGAAGGGAGATAAGGGGTAAGGTGTTGCACCCCAGCATTCGTATTGGTCGCTTTTTAAAATCTTCATCTCCATTCTATGGGGCCTGCTGGCAAGCTCAGAGAGGTGAAGTGATTTGCCCAGCCCTCACACCCAGGATGGGGACCCAGCCCGCTCTGACCTCCGAGACTATGCACCCCTCTTCTTGGCCCC